TAAACATTACTATTTAGTTGTAATAAAATAAAATTTACAAATAGCTACAAACACAACTACAAACAATTGTAAAAGACACCACTTTATTCTTCCATTTTGATTTCAAGTTTAAGCGGAGCTTGCAGTTGCTTTCGCGGAGCTTCGATCGTTAATTTAGAGTCTTTCGTATAGCGAGAACATAATTCGGATGGATCTACATCATCTGGCAAAGCTACGTGTTTGGTAAACTGCTTGTGGTGGTAACTTGAACCGTGTTCACCGCTGTTTTCAGTTTTTGTTTCACCATGAACGACTAAATCTCTACCTTTTACTTGAATCGAAATTTCTTCTGGCTTGAAGCCTTGTACATCTAAAGAGAATTTAAAAGTCTCTTTCGTTGATTCTCCAGAAGATGCAGGGAGCTTTTTAGGAGCTTCTATATGCAAAACGCCGCCTTGACTGATGTTTGACGTAAGGGCTGTCGCATCCACGTCATCGGGAATAGTGTACTTTCTGTGGAACTCACTAGACTCAAATCCATTTTCATTTTCGTTACGATGCTTTCCACTGACTTCAAGAACTTGACCTAAACAACGACAAAAAAGATTTACAAACAGGAAAAAAAAAAGCAAACTATGAAATATCTTGAACATTTTCCTTAGTGAGCCTACCAGTTTAAATAAAAAATACATAATCCGTAAATAGATAATGGCCCGCGTTATTTGCGACACAACAGCGATAATTCCATTAGTTACCACCAATCACGATTGGCTTCACTCGTTAGTTTAGCGTTTTTTTAATATATGGCAACTCTTAATAGCAAAGCAGTTATCGTTTTGAAAATATCACTAAAAAAAACGCCGAAAGCGCTTCATACTTCGATTTGCACTACGGACAACTAATGTGAGATCGATAACGGGAAACTAACAATAGAATACAAAATATGAAAAGCTGGCTATGAGCTTGTCATTTATAAATTTTAGATCTACAAAATTACCTTCTACTTTAAGAGTAACTTCCTCTGGCTTGTAATGCTTAACATCAAGATTTACAACAAAACCATTTTCTTTCGGAGTCTTTTTTTTTGAAACAGCATTTGTTCCAACATTAAATAATGGAAAATATCTTAAAGGAGGAAAAGTTATCTCCATTATGTCATCCAAGAATGGATCGGTGTCAAAATATTTATGAACAGGAATGTGCCACAAAGACATTTCTCACTGAAAAAATTAATTATAGTTCAATAGCAACTACATTAAACGTAACTAAAAACAAGTTGCACAATAAATATATAGAAAATAACAACAAAAAACACACTTTAACTAAAAACGCAGCAACACGCGCTAAAGTTTCATTAGAAAAAAGAAAATTACGACGTATCAAGACATTGTAAAAAAAATCTAAATCAAGACATCAAAAAGCGATCTTTACCTTTTTAAGTAGCTTTCTTACTTCTTTTTTAGTCGTTACGTTGCGCTTTATGGCTAAACAACACAAAACTTTAAATTTATGTCTTTTTAGAAATAACGTCACAAAATATTCTGACATTCTAAACACTTCGAGAACGATCTGTTTGTACTCTCCTTCATTGTAGTTATTACATACACGCGTTTTTATTGAACTTTTTGTTTTCTTAATGATCACGCTTAAATAATCGCTCAAATAAATACATGTTTTTGATCATTATAATTTTTGAGTGAAATTTTCTAATAATCTATTGTGAATTAGAATAATTTTAACAAATAATAATAGTTTTTTTTTATAATTCTTTTCATATTAAAGAGAAAAAAAAAAAAAGTTACTTTTTAATTCACATAGCTATTATATTCACATAGCAGTTTACATTTATTAAATGTATATACACAAAGACATATTATAAACGGTGTTTTATTTGCATGTTTTATTCCTGGTTTTTCTTCATTATCAATATATATTTTTTTGAAATTCAATTGCATGCAGCATTCAATCCACACTTCACATTTCATAATCCAGCTATAAGTATTTTAAAGTGGTCATAAAATATTTTGCCGTTTACTGTACAGCTGGTTATGAACAGAAAGGGATCTAAATTGATTTTAATTTTGTTAACCAAACGTTTACTGCGTTTTCAGGCTCTGTTGTTAACAGAGGAGCAGCACCAAGACTTTTTTGTGTTAAAAAGCCATTCCAAGATTATTGATAAAAAGCTGATGAATAGTTTTTCATAATATTTTTATCAACACTAAATTTTTTTTTGTACACATAGACAAGACTATGATGTTTTCTGAGCTTACTAAAGTAGGAAATTAGCTTTTTAAAATACAATTAAGTTCATTATAGATGACTTTAAAAACGACCAGTGCTTTAATGGAACATGATCATTAAAAAAACGACCAGTGCTTTAATGGAACTTTTTAAGTTTTTCCCGCTAAAATGTTGTAAAGTATGGATAACTTTATAATAAAGACATAAATTACAAACTTCCGTAGCGGCCGATAACAATGTTGATAACATATGACAAAAAGTACTTTATAAATGAAGTCAGTTTGTGACAAGAACAGTATACATTAACTTTTTCTACAACCTTTAAACATAAGAAACAACTTTGTATACCTGATTAACCACCAGCAGCGTTTATATTTGCTTTATCATACCATCGAGACGCAAAAGAAATCTTTTTTATATTATTATTTTTTTAAATCATCTTCCCAAGGCCGAGTAGGCCACTACAGACGAGGAGGCTTCTTAATTGTGGTTATAATCCTCTCTCAAATCTAAACTCCGAAACACGAACCTTAACCAACATGGCCGTTGCGCGGAGAAACAATTAGAGTTGTTGAGAATGTAACTATTGTACTTTAGAATGGTAGTTACATTCAATTTTAGAAGCCTATAACAAGTTTAAAGTTAATAGTGAAAAGCGTTCATGATCTCGAGCATCGCCCATGATATGTAGTTTTAGAAACTTGTTATTTTAAATGCGTTGCCTTGATCTTTCCTTGATTCCTTTAATACGATTATCAAGTTAAATTTCATATTTCGTGTCTCTTGTGGCATTAGCGCTGAAAATTGTTATCCTTTTTGAACTTTTTTTCTCGCTATTTAATTTTCTTTTTACATTTTCTTCAGTTTTGTTAAAACAAAATGCACCTTAAAATGATTTTGTTTTGAATACCAATGACAAGAGTATACCTAAATGAATACAAAAGAACCGTAAAATCAATCGAGTCTAAAACTTTTATTGCTGCTTCATTGTATTTATTTCAAGAAAGTTAAAACTTTTTTCAAAACTTAGTTTGTTGGCTGTAAAGCAGCTAAACTACTTTTTCATAATGAAGCTTTTTGAAATATACATCACATCCACGTGATGACAAAGCCTGTACAAGAAAAACAGATGAATGCACACTCAGTGTCAAGCTTTGAAAAAGTTATGATAAATCGTTTATTTATTATAACTTTTTGAATGCTCACCCAGTGACAATCAACATCAGTCAGAAGTAGAAGTTTGAGCATGTGAGACATCTACTAGTTTGAAATTTTGCTTAAACCGTCATTTTTTTTGTTGACTTAGACATAGATTTGTACTCGTCGCACTCATTTTCAAGCAAGGCTTTGGCCAGTAGTTATCCTGAGTGAACTTCACAAATGTTTTCACATAGAGCTAACACCACCAAAGTATTTCCATCGTTTTCATTGTTAGTTTTGACTAAAACAAATCTCAATTTAAGTAACGATTTTTTCAATATTCTAATATTTACGCTTGTTTTATTCAACCTAATTCTTTTTTTTTTCAATATTAAATATCTTTCATGACAAAGCTAGATAAACATTTTTTTGTTTGCTAACTTTTTTAAAAGTTACATAAATAATAATTAAATAAAAAAAAAAACTGATTTTATGACTGTTTTGTTTTGGGTACTTGACAGCAAGATCAAGTCAAATGTAAGAACGCCTTGACTTTGTTTAGTGAGTCACGTTTGATAACTTTGTGAATAATCGTTAGGACTTCTCTGTGAAGCTTTTGATGTTGCAATCCACACTAGACCCGGCAAACATTTTATATCAGAATTTCAGCGGAACTATATAGGCTATTTGTGCGGTCCACTATAGTTTTGCTCATTGGTTACTTGATGGACCTTTAGTGTCAGCCGATAAACGTAGCTAGCCGATGACAAGCCACTATTAACATGTCGGAAAATTATTGGCTGGCCTTTTATAGCGGTTGCCACCAATGGTCAACTAGGTAACCGATAAGCAACACTCTAACGAACCCCTCAAAATGCACATATCGGTACACTTCAAATTCACTACATAAATGTTTGCTGGACTTTTAAGTTTATTTAGATGCAAAATGCTGCACGATTGCATAATAAAGTAGTGCCTGTTACATTTATTTCGGATATTTTACTTTGTTGTTTTATTTTTTACATTTCAACAATACAACCAAGTCAAAGATTGATGGCCAAACACTTTTTTTCACAACTGCTTTTCAATCGACTCATTCATTAAGCAAATAGAATCATTTATTTAGCAAGTAAAAAGTAGTTGGCAATACACATGTAACCTACAGTTACAAAAAATTCTATGCTAAAAGATATACAATAACTCATCAAAACTTTACTAACGTTTACCCGTATTTTATGATTAAAAAAAAAAATTTCATTCTATTTCTGTTGGGCCAACATTTTTGGATCTTGCTGGCGATAAATAAAAAACTTTACTGCGACATTATGAGATAGGGAATATATATATATATATATATATATATATATATATATATATATATATATATATATATATATATATATATATATATATATATATATATATATTTATGCCCTATCTCCCGAGTTTATTACTTACGATGACAAAGCCGGGTTCGATTGAAATGGAATTAGCATGAAATAAGACAAAAACTAATTTGTTAGAAAAAAGTGAAAAACACTAAGACTATGTTAGAAGGTGATTTTAAGTGTTTTGCTTCGACTAAACGTCTACTCTTTAACCACGTTATCTTTTCGATAAATATAATACAAACTTTGTTTAATAAATAAGTCTTTTTCTTTTTTAAATAAACTATCAATACAAAAATTTATAATTTAAAACAAAATAAGCCATTTAAAATATAGTACATTTAGCGTAAACATTACTATTTAGTTGTAATAAAATAAAATTTACAAATAGCTACAAACACAACTACAAACAATTGTAAAAGACACCACTTTATTCTTCCATTTTGATTTCAAGTTTAAGCGGAGCTTGCAGTTGCTTTCGCGGAGCTTCGATCGTTAATTTAGAGTCTTTCGTATAGCGAGAACATAATTCGGATGGATCTACATCATCTGGCAAAGCTACGTGTTTGGTAAACTGCTTGTGGTGGTAACTTGAACCGTGTTCACCGCTGTTTTCAGTTTTTGTTTCACCATGAACGACTAAATCTCTACCTTTTACTTGAATCGAAATTTCTTCTGGCTTGAAGCCTTGTACATCTAAAGAGAATTTAAAAGTCTCTTTCGTTGATTCTCCAGAAGATGCAGGGAGCTTTTTAGGAGCTTCTATATGCAAAACGCCGCCTTGACTGATGTTTGACGTAAGGGCTGTCGCATCCACGTCATCGGGAATAGTGTACTTTCTGTGGAACTCACTAGACTCAAATCCATTTTCATTTTCGTTACGATGCTTTCCACTGACTTCAAGAACTTGACCTAAACAACGACAAAAAAGATTTACAAACAGGAAAAAAAAAAGCAAACTATGAAATATCTTGAACATTTTCCTTAGTGAGCCTACCAGTTTAAATAAAAAATACATAATCCGTAAATAGATAATGGCCCGCGTTATTTGCGACACAACAGCGATAATTCCATTAGTTACCACCAATCACGATTGGCTTCACTCGTTAGTTTAGCGTTTTTTTAATATATGGCAACTCTTAATAGCAAAGCAGTTATCGTTTTGAAAATATCACTAAAAAAAACGCCGAAAGCGCTTCATACTTCGATTTGCACTACGGACAACTAATGTGAGATCGATAACGGGAAACTAACAATAGAATACAAAATATGAAAAGCTGGCTATGAGCTTGTCATTTATAAATTTTAGATCTACAAAATTACCTTCTACTTTAAGAGTAACTTCCTCTGGCTTGTAATGCTTAACATCAAGATTTACAACAAAACCATTTTCTTTCGGAGTCTTTTTTTTTGAAACAGCATTTGTTCCAACATTAAATAATGGAAAATATCTTAAAGGAGGAAAAGTTATCTCCATTATGTCATCCAAGAATGGATCGGTGTCAAAATATTTATGAACAGGAATGTGCCACAAAGACATTTCTCACTGAAAAAATTAATTATAGTTCAATAGCAACTACATTAAACGTAACTAAAAACAAGTTGCACAATAAATATATAGAAAATAACAACAAAAAACACACTTTAACTAAAAACGCAGCAACACGCGCTAAAGTTTCATTAGAAAAAAGAAAATTACGACGTATCAAGACATTGTAAAAAAAATCTAAATCAAGACATCAAAAAGCGATCTTTACCTTTTTAAGTAGCTTTCTTACTTCTTTTTTAGTCGTTACGTTGCGCTTTATGGCTAAACAACACAAAACTTTAAATTTATGTCTTTTTAGAAATAACGTCACAAAATATTCTGACATTCTAAACACTTCGAGAACGATCTGTTTGTACTCTCCTTCATTGTAGTTATTACATACACGCGTTTTTATTGAACTTTTTGTTTTCTTAATGATCACGCTTAAATAATCGCTCAAATAAATACATGTTTTTGATCATTATAATTTTTGAGTGAAATTTTCTAATAATCTATTGTGAATTAGAATAATTTTAACAAATAATAATAGTTTTTTTTTATAATTCTTTTCATATTAAAGAGAAAAAAAAAAAAAGTTACTTTTTAATTCACATAGCTATTATATTCACATAGCAGTTTACATTTATTAAATGTATATACACAAAGACATATTATAAACGGTGTTTTATTTGCATGTTTTATTCCTGGTTTTTCTTCATTATCAATATATATTTTTTTGAAATTCAATTGCATGCAGCATTCAATCCACACTTCACATTTCATAATCCAGCTATAAGTATTTTAAAGTGGTCATAAAATATTTTGCCGTTTACTGTACAGCTGGTTATGAACAGAAAGGGATCTAAATTGATTTTAATTTTGTTAACCAAACGTTTACTGCGTTTTCAGGCTCTGTTGTTAACAGAGGAGCAGCACCAAGACTTTTTTGTGTTAAAAAGCCATTCCAAGATTATTGATAAAAAGCTGATGAATAGTTTTTCATAATATTTTTATCAACACTAAATTTTTTTTTGTACACATAGACAAGACTATGATGTTTTCTGAGCTTACTAAAGTAGGAAATTAGCTTTTTAAAATACAATTAAGTTCATTATAGATGACTTTAAAAACGACCAGTGCTTTAATGGAACATGATCATTAAAAAAACGACCAGTGCTTTAATGGAACTTTTTAAGTTTTTTCCGCTAAAATGTTGTAAAGTATGGATAACTTTATAATAAAGACATAAATTACAAACTTCCGTAGCGGCCGATAACAATGTTGATAACATATGACAAAAAGTACTTTATAAATGAAGTCAGTTTGTGACAAGAACAGTATACATTAACTTTTTTTACAACCTTTAAACATAAGAAACAACTTTGTATACCTGATTAACCACCAGCAGCGTTTATATTTGCTTTATCATACCATCGAGACGCAAAAGAAATCTTTTTTATATTATTATTTTTTTAAATCATCTTCCCAAGGCCGAGTAGGCCACTACAGACGAGGAGGCTTCTTAATTGTGGTTATAATCCTCTCTCAAATCTAAACTCCGAAACACGAACCTTAACCAACATGGCCGTTGCGCGGAGAAACAATTAGAGTTGTTGAGAATGTAACTATTGTACTTTAGAATGGTAGTTACATTCAATTTTAGAAGCCTATAACAAGTTTAAAGTTAATAGTGAAAAGCGTTCATGATCTCGAGCATCGCCCATGATATGTAGTTTTAGAAACTTGTTATTTTAAATGCGTTGCCTTGATCTTTCCTTGATTCCTTTAATACGATTATCAAGTTAAATTTCATATTTCGTGTCTCTTGTGGCATTAGCGCTGAAAATTGTTATCCTTTTTGAACTTTTTTTCTCGCTATTTAATTTTCTTTTTACATTTTCTTCAGTTTTGTTAAAACAAAATGCACCTTAAAATGATTTTGTTTTGAATACCAATGACAAGAGTATACCTAAATGAATACAAAAGAACCGTAAAATCAATCGAGTCTAAAACTTTTATTGCTGCTTCATTGTATTTATTTCAAGAAAGTTAAAACTTTTTTCAAAACTTAGTTTGTTGGCTGTAAAGCAGCTAAACTACTTTTTCATAATGAAGCTTTTTGAAATATACATCACATCCACGTGATGACAAAGCCTGTACAAGAAAAACAGATGAATGCACACTCAGTGTCAAGCTTTGAAAAAGTTATGATAAATCGTTTATTTATTATAACTTTTTGAATGCTCACCCAGTGACAATCAACATCAGTCAGAAGTAGAAGTTTGAGCATGTGAGACATCTACTAGTTTGAAATTTTGCTTAAACCGTCATTTTTTTTGTTGACTTAGACATAGATTTGTACTCGTCGCACTCATTTTCAAGCAAGGCTTTGGCCAGTAGTTATCCTGAGTGAACTTCACAAATGTTTTCACATAGAGCTAACACCACCAAAGTATTTCCATCGTTTTCATTGTTAGTTTTGACTAAAACAAATCTCAATTTAAGTAACGATTTTTTCAATATTCTAATATTTACGCTTGTTTTATTCAACCTAATTCTTTTTTTTTTCAATATTAAATATCTTTCATGACAAAGCTAGATAAACATTTTTTTGTTTGCTAACTTTTTTAAAAGTTACATAAATAATAATTAAATAAAAAAAAAAACTGATTTTATGACTGTTTTGTTTTGGGTACTTGACAGCAAGATCAAGTCAAATGTAAGAACGCCTTGACTTTGTTTAGTGAGTCACGTTTGATAACTTTGTGAATAATCGTTAGGACTTCTCTGTGAAGCTTTTGATGTTGCAATCCACACTAGACCCGGCAAACATTTTATATCAGAATTTCAGCGGAACTATATAGGCTATTTGTGCGGTCCACTATAGTTTTGCTCATTGGTTACTTGATGGACCTTTAGTGTCAGCCGATAAACGTAGCTAGCCGATGACAAGCCACTATTAACATGTCGGAAAATTATTGGCTGGCCTTTTATAGCGGTTGCCACCAATGGTCAACTAGGTAACCGATAAGCAACACTCTAACGAACCCCTCAAAATGCACATATCGGTACACTTCAAATTCACTACATAAATGTTTGCTGGACTTTTAAGTTTATTTAGATGCAAAATGCTGCACGATTGCATAATAAAGTAGTGCCTGTTACATTTATTTCGGATATTTTACTTTGTTGTTTTATTTTTTACATTTCAACAATACAACCAAGTCAAAGATTGATGGCCAAACACTTTTTTTCACAACTGCTTTTCAATCGACTCATTCATTAAGCAAATAGAATCATTTATTTAGCAAGTAAAAAGTAGTTGGCAATACACATGTAACCTACAGTTACAAAAAATTCTATGCTAAAAGATATACAATAACTCATCAAAACTTTACTAACGTTTACCCGTATTTTATGATTAAAAAAAAAAATTTCATTCTATTTCTGTTGGGCCAACATTTTTGGATCTTGCTGGCGATAAATAAAAAACTTTACTGCGACATTATGAGATAGGGAATATATATATATATATATATATATATATATATATATATATATATATATATATATATATATATATATATATATATATATATATATATATATATATATATATATATATATATATATATATGCCCTATCTCCCGAGTTTATTACTTACGATGACAAAGCCGGGTTCGATTGAAATGGAATTAGCATGAAATAAGACAAAAACTAATTTGTTAGAAAAAAGTGAAAAACACTAAGACTATGTTAGAAGTTGATTTTAAGTGTTTTGCTTCGACTAAACGTCTACTCTTTAACCACGTTATCTTTTCGATAAATAAAATACAAACTTTGTTTAATAAATAAGTCTTTTTCTTTTTTAAATAAACTATCAATACAAAAATTTATAATTTAAAACAAAATAAGCCATTTAAAATATAGTACATTTAGCGTAAACATTACTATTTAGTTGTAATAAAATAAAATTTACAAATAGCTACAAACACAACTACAAACAATTGTAAAAGACACCACTTTATTCTTCCATTTTGATTTCAAGTTTAAGCGGAGCTTGCAGTTGCTTTCGCGGAGCTTCGATCGTTAATTTAGAGTCTTTCGTATAGCGAGAACATAATTCGGATGGATCTACATCATCTGGCAAAGCTACGTGTTTGGTAAACTGCTTGTGGTGGTAACTTGAACCGTGTTCACCGCTGTTTTCAGTTTTTGTTTCACCATGAACGACTAAATCTCTACCTTTTACTTGAATCGAAATTTCTTCTGGCTTGAAGCCTTGTACATCTAAAGAGAATTTAAAAGTCTCTTTCGTTGATTCTCCAGAAGATGCAGGGAGCTTTTTAGGAGCTTCTATATGCAAAACGCCGCCTTGACTGATGTTTGACGTAAGGGCTGTCGCATCCACGTCATCGGGAATAGTGTACTTTCTGTGGAACTCACTAGACTCAAATCCATTTTCATTTTCGTTACGATGCTTTCCACTGACTTCAAGAACTTGACCTAAACAACGACAAAAAAGATTTACAAACAGGAAAAAAAAAAGCAAACTATGAAATATCTTGAACATTTTCCTTAGTGAGCCTACCAGTTTAAATAAAAAATACATAATCCGTAAATAGATAATGGCCCGCGTTATTTGCGACACAACAGCGATAATTCCATTAGTTACCACCAATCACGATTGGCTTCACTCGTTAGTTTAGCGTTTTTTTAATATATGGCAACTCTTAATAGCAAAGCAGTTATCGTTTTGAAAATATCACTAAAAAAAACGCCGAAAGCGCTTCATACTTCGATTTGCACTACGGACAACTAATGTGAGATCGATAACGGGAAACTAACAATAGAATACAAAATATGAAAAGCTGGCTATGAGCTTGTCATTTATAAATTTTAGATCTACAAAATTACCTTCTACTTTAAGAGTAACTTCCTCTGGCTTGTAATGCTTAACATCAAGATTTACAACAAAACCATTTTCTTTCGGAGTCTTTTTTTTTGAAACAGCATTTGTTCCAACATTAAATAATGGAAAATATCTTAAAGGAGGAAAAGTTATCTCCATTATGTCATCCAAGAATGGATCGGTGTCAAAATATTTATGAACAGGAATGTGCCACAAAGACATTTCTCACTGAAAAAATTAATTATAGTTCAATAGCAACTACATTAAACGTAACTAAAAACAAGTTGCACAATAAATATATAGAAAATAACAACAAAAAACACACTTTAACTAAAAACGCAGCAACACGCGCTAAAGTTTCATTAGAAAAAAGAAAATTACGACGTATCAAGACATTGTAAAAAAAATCTAAATCAAGACATCAAAAAGCGATCTTTACCTTTTTAAGTAGCTTTCTTACTTCTTTTTTAGTCGT